TTGGCATGCTCAGCTGACAGGTCCGCAACGAGAACTCAGCGGTCGCTCTGCAGGGAGCGGCGAGGCCCTCGCCTCTCGTGAAGAGTCACCGCCCCAGAAACTATGAAGCAGCTCTACTCTATCCTACCGGCTGCCTAGGAGTCAGCATCGGATGAACAGAACTGGTTTGGGTTTTTGTTTGTTTGTTTTCTCTGTTGAGTATAAAAATGACAACAACAAAATAAAAATCTCCCTGGCGTGGAGGCCATGCTAACCCACAGAGACTCGATAGGACGGCAGAACTGCTCCTGTGGGTTTCTGGGGCCATCACCTTTACAGCAATAGAAAGCTTCATCTTTCTCCTGCGGAGCCCCTGGTGGTTTCAAACTGCTGACTTTGACCACTCTGCCACCTGGTCTCCTGTGGCTATATTTCCCCAGGTACTTAGCACTTTTGAGGAGGAGAGGGCTTCCCTTGGTTAATGTGTAAACATTAAGTTGAGTTCAACACCATTACAGTATTTTCCGTCAAGCTGAAAAAGTGGCCGACTGAAAATGGCATTTCGGCTTTGTTTCTGTTTCCTTGATGCTATCAATCCGTGCAGAAACTGGGGCTGTAACGATTTCTCTTAGTTCTCAGAGCAGTGTTCTTGAATTGTAACTCAGCTCCCACTCAAATGGGTAACAGTAACGTATTGATACACATCAACATAAATCAGTAAGTTCAAAGCATGACAAACTGTCTTAAGCCTTCTGGCTGGGGAAAACAGAATTTGGAGAGAGGAGGAGGATTTAAAGCAAGCCTCCACTGCAAGTTACGGCTAGTATTTATCTTCTTTCACTAAAAATAAATTGCTGGACTTCTGATTTATTACCATCTTTTTTATCTTGGATTTTTTGTTATTTTAAACTGGAAGGGTTCTATGCAACATCGTTCAAACCTCTTCTTCAAATAAAGCTGATGGCCCAGAGAGGTCAATGGACCTCCGGCAGTCACACAGCATGTTAGGGTGCATCTTGCTGAGACTTGGGGCTTACTAACTTCATGCACATTGAGTCTTAATGGACAGACAGCCATTTAGTGTGTTGGAATGTGGTTTGGAAGTCCTCTACCAAACAAACTCGCTGAAAGATACAGCGCCTGCTTCCAGAAAGATCTAGTCTTAGAACCCCTATCAGGCAACTCTACGCTCTCTTATAGGGTTGATAGAAATAAGCATCAATGTTTGGTGTCATTAGGCACCCCAATGAGCTATTAAGTAGATAGATGGTCTATAAGTTGGGACTTTAGGGACATATGAGGATAAGAAGTAGAAGATGAAGCTTAGGTTAACTGATTGTCATCCTCCAGGAGGGTCCCGCCTGGTCCCTGCCTCCCCTGCATCTGTGGTCTTGTGTAATCCTCATCAATTTAGGGTGGACCCAGTTTAGTGACTTAACTTCTAGCAAGCCCTTTGAAGATTAGAATCCTAAAAGACAGTGGCTTCCAGCTTGGGTCCCCCCCTCTCAGTCTCTTCTGAACTGCTTACCCTGAGGGCGGCTGACTGCTGTTCAGGGAAGCAGGCCTGGGGCGGGGACCCACCAGTAGCTTCATGAGTGTCAGAAACAGCCTTCCTTGAACCTGTAGGGGAAAGCATGGCCCCTGCCAATAACTTAGCTGCACTCTGATGAGAGGCTAGGGGCAGGGGGATCCCCTAGGATGGGCCCGGAGTCCCCAGCGATGGAAACCGTGAAATAATACCGCACATCAGCAGATAGCTGATACCACTGCACTATCCTAGGGACTTGTCCTGATTTTCTGGAGAAACTGAATCACAAAAAAGTTAAATCTCTTGCCCAGCATTACACACCTAAGGGTACATGGTAGAGATGGGACACAATTCGAGGACATCTGCCCCAGAAGAGCTGAGACTTTCAATCTATCACTACCCCTCTTGGTGGCCATGTCAGGTAAGCATTCCATGTCTAACTTGGAGGTCGGAGGTTCAAACCTATCAGCCAACTCATGGGATGAAAATAAGATTGCGCTCATAAGCATGTACAACCTTGGAAACCCATATAGAGTCACTGTGAGTCAGACATGACTTGATAATAGTGGGTATGGCTTTTCGTTTTAACACTACCACTCTACATTATCTTTTGTCCTACTGTGCACGTTAAGTGAGACTTCTCACAGAGAAGGAGTTAAGGGTGCATCGGTTCTACCAACCTAGGTCCCTCAGCATCTTCATCAAATGTCTTCACCTGCCATGAATGAGTTCTTTTATCCTGGGCGCTGCAAGCATGCTACAAGCCACACCCCATCGTCATAGAAGATGGAAAGACAGGCTGCCATTGTTCACAGAGTAGCGCTCTGTCTGGTCTATCTGGCTGGTTCTGGATTTGAAGGCCGCTGGCTCAGCTGGCACACATGCCAGTATGCATTCATCTACATTGTAGACAGCATTGTAAGTGACAGGGCTCTCTGCCCGGTGAACTCCTTCTCCCCCAAACATCCCAATTTCCAGGAAAAGAAGAATATATGGAATCAGATATTATCAATTATTTGGCTTTTAAAAAAA